AACCAACATCATTGTTTCTGAGTTACTTAACATATATATATATGATAGTGCATAAGATCTGCTATAGATATAATGGATATGTAAAACAAATGTATTTGCCAATTAACTCAATGATTATAATAATAAGAATGTTAAATTAAAAAAAACGAATTTAAAAAACGGATAATAAGGAATGAATAGTAGCAAAGCAAAATAAAAAATAGGGTGCCCGTAGAAAAAGAAAATTTCTGTTCGAAATGCAGACATTAGAAACACAATTACTCTGATGTTCGATTATCCTACAAAATAACTATAGTCTACAAAAGATTTTTCACTTTACATATTTTATATTAGTTTAATGAGGCTAGAGAATATATGTGAGTTTCACATTTCAGTCCCAAAGGGGCTACGCTAACAAGCTTCCTATATTATCAATATCAGTATAGAAAACTAAGAATAAAAATATATGTGTAAGCATATAAGTTTAAATAAATCAAATATTATATCGTTTTCTATATTATATATATAGAAAAATATTCCCAGGCATATGGTAGAAAAAAATTAATTAATATATTATTTTCTATATTGTCAATATAGAAAGAAACCATATGAAATAAAATAATTTCTGTATTAATGATATCAATATAGAAAAATAACAAATACAAAAATATATGTTCCAGCGTATAGTAGAGGATAATAGAAAAAAAACTTAATTCTTCATCTTTTGATAGTTTTAGAAAAATTTGGACATCGATATCTTTCCTGAGAAATATTTGGTGAAGACAAACGTTCTTTATTATGTGAAAATTTCCAAGGTACAACCGTACCTTGACTAATCTATTATACAAAGTGTTTGTGAAGTCAAAAATGATTTTACGATTACAATAATAGAAAATATTGACTTTCATAACACAGCATTGTGTATTTTGTACATTTCTCCATAATAGAAGCTATTGAATCAACAATTCTCAAATAAGTAAAAGAACATGATAGATCACACAGAATCAAATAAGAGCAGACAAGACTTGGATTATGTAATGCTATAACTTTCTTTTGTTTATGAATCCCATTTAGTCAGATAAAATCAGATCAGAGTCCTTTACTCTGTTCTTATATTTTTCTTAATCTCAGAATCTAATAAGATTTCCAATGACATCTTTTATTCTGAATCTGACAAAATCTTTAAAAAAAATGCATCTATTTTCACTGTCTCTTTTTTCTTTCCCGTCTATTTTACATCTCATGCATATCCCTTCTCTCTTGCATTCTTTTTGTGCACGGCGTCGCATCTAGTCTATTTTCAATATTCTTGTTCAAAATCTTCGAGAAGATTATTGTTGTCCCGAGATTTCTATTATATATATATCCGCCCTTGTGCCTATTATATTCATTATGTTCAGATGAATTCAATGAAAACCTTCCCAGGATCGGTTTGTGATGAGCACTTTGTTCAAGGAATTTTTTGTATTTACTGTTCTAAATAAAGGAAAACTATAATTCTAACAATTACTTTACAAGACTGAAGAGGAAAACAATCTAATTTGGGCAAGAATACCAGTCCAGCAATCAAAATCATAGAAATATGAATACATGTTATCATATTATCTCCAAAAATTAGCTTGGGCATCCGAGAGTTAAATACACATCATTTTTTGAACATAATTAAATCTACGATTAATATCAAATAGTAGGATATTAATTTATTGCTTTATAAACTTTCTCATAAAATTTAAAGATAGACACCTCCATTCTGTCCTGTTCCTACTCCATTTTCACTCTGATATCAACCATTCCAAAATACTTACTCTTCAGATTCTCCTGAACATATCCATAACATGCGAGCTTACAGAAGACTTCTCAGAACAAGTACTACATAAGGATTATAGCATGATCCTCATAGAAGATACTCATTATTTTTAGATTTTCAGATTTTGACAGAGTATCTTATTTAGTCATCAAGATTCTCTTCGAGGACCCTAATACAATGGTTTGAAAATGGTGTTCATCAAAAGTTAAAAATAGCATTTTAGAACACTTTCTGCCTATCCCATTATCATCGCCCTTTTCAAAGCCTATAAAATCCATAGATCCCAATGTTTGTCACTGGAGAGCTCCGTTTGGATTGACATCCATCTTTTCAGCATTTGAAAAAGTAGAAGCCCTCTCAGATTACATAGATTCGCGTGGAATCCTCTCAACTTTGTTCAGTTTCGCCTGTATCCAAACCTTCTCATGATCTTACTCAGAGTACATCACGGTTGTTTTTCGAACAGCTTCACAAAACTTATCAAAAGCCTTATAAAAATTCACCGACATTCTCTATGCAAATACTTAGGAGATTCTTCGGCAGATCTACATTCATCATACAGAAAATCATGTGTCCTTAAGGTTTCCTAAAAAACATAGGGATTAGGTTTGATATTTTGTTGTTCAACGATTCGATATTCTTCTCACAAGATACAAATAGAATCTTCTCTGATGTTCATATAAATGATCATTCTGCCAAAAAGATTCTGAATTCTTGCAATTCTGAAAAAAATCCTCAGATCTCTATGTTTTTCTATCAAAAACTTACATGAAATTGGTATTACTCTTTCTTGGAGAACCTCCTTACAACAATCTCCAGGTGTTATTTTTATGATCAAAAAGATTTTGGCAAGAACTAGAAGTAACATAGATGTAAGAATCGTTACCAAATCCTTTTTTTCTCATAGGAAACTAAGAAAAGACTTCTGAATTTTTATCTGCGAAACAAGCATTTTCAAAGATGAATGTCTTATTTGTAACGCTTGCTCTCACAAGAGACGGAATCCCTTCGATAACGACGATTTGTTTTCTTTTTTGTTCATTGTAGTAATTCCAAATATTCCAGCCAATGCCCGATGGGCCCAGAAGGGAGTGACTGTCGCTGGAGGCCATGGACAAGGCAATGCCGCCAATCAACTCTACCGCCCTTGTGGTCTCTTCGTTGATGATGATCAAACGATGGTCATCACTGACTGCTACAGTCATCGTATCATCCAATGGAAGATGGGTGATACAAATGGACAAGTAGTAGCTGGTGGCAATGGCCAAGGAAACCGATTGGATCAATTGGATCGACCAGCCGATGTATTGATCGACAAAGAGACGGGTAGTCTCTTTATTTGTGATCGATGGAATCGACGAGTCGTTCGATGGTCTCGTCGTAGTGGCACAACACAAGGAGAAATCCTCATCGACAACATCGCTTGTTGCGGATTGGCCATGGATGATCAGAGATATCTCTACATCTCTGACACTGACAAACATGAAGTAAGACGATATCAAATAGGAGACAAGAATGGAACTCTTGTGGCTGGTGGTAATAGCAGAGGTGTTGGTCTCAATCAACTCAACTGGCCGACCTACATCTTTGTCGATCAACAACAGACTGTCTACGTGTCAGACGACAACAATCATCGTGTAATGAAATGGAATAAAGGTGCAAAAGAAGGAGTTGTCGTCGCTGGAGGTCAAGGCGAAGGGAATGCTCTGACACAATTGTCGTATCCTAATGGACTGTTCGTCGATACATTGGGTACCATCTATGTGGCAGACTCGGGGAATAATCGAGTAATGCGTTGGCCTAAAGGAGCGAAACAGGGCACTGTCATTGTGGGTGGAAATGGTCTAGGAGCAGGAGCAAATCAGTTCAACTGGCCCATCGGTTTGTCCTTCGATCGACATGACAATCTCTATGTAGTCGATCATTGGAATCATCGTGTTCAACGCTTTTCAATCTAATAGACTCGTCGTGATAGATTTTTTTTGCGTTCCTTTCGTTTCAAATAAATCACATTGAATTGATGAAATGAATGGCTTATTCTATTCGCGCGCGACCAGGAACCATCCTGGTGGAGCCGCGGCGAGCGTAACGCTTATGCACGCACAGGACAGACTCATATCATTCATACCCTCCCCGCGAGAGATATGTCAATGAGTCTGAATAAGCCTGGTGGTGTACCACGGATACCAAGACAGTTCCTGGCCGGGTTTTTAGGGCCTACCCGGAAGGTCTGTAACTAACGGGGACCTAATCTCAATCGACATAACTCACCCCTTTCCCCTACTAACACTCTTTTCTCAGTCACTCTATTCCTCTCCTCAATCTCAATATTACACTATCTAATCTCATCTCCCTCTCCCCTATTCTCATCTCAAAAAAAAAACATTACTCATCCTGTTTTGATGTTGATTACGGCGCGATGATATTGAGAACTAGAAAGAACAAGAAAAAAAATTAATTTAATGTTATATAATGAAAAAAAAAGAATGAGTTAACTTACCCCACTGTTATCTACTCATAGTTGAAAATATTCATCGAACCTAAGACAAAAGAAAAAATAAATAAATTAAAATGATTATAGGAGGTCTTACTTCGCCATCCTTATAACCGTTAAATAAAAAAAGAAAAAAAATTAAAACTGATATCTACATTTTTTTTTATTGTGTGGCTTGATCTTGATTTGATTAATTTTGCATTATCGAGGCCAATCTAAAACAGAAAAAGAAAAATGATTATTATTTGATTCAAAAATTTGAATGATTTTACATAGGAAATCATTCCTATATATACCTTGAAAAATCATTTTTTTCTCTCGTCGAAAATGAATTAAAAGTTGATTTCAAAAAGGTTAATTGATATACATATTTAATTGTACATGTTGATCATTGATCGTCAATGATAACAACATGAACAATGATTTATGGACGAGCCAAAAGTCAAAAAAAAAAAGAAAATTCCTTTCTTAACATATATTTCTTTCCTTTCTCTCTTGTTAACATTAACATATACAGTAAAACCTCTTTAATCTGAGCGCCATCGGGACCGGCAAAAAGTGGTCAGTTTAAGGAGGTGCTCATTATTCGGAGATTTGCAGATTCTCTCATAAAGAGTCTGAATATTCACTTGAAAATGCTTTTCGAGAGCACAAAATGATATTGTACTTCCTTTCAATAATTTATTTATACAATAATTTATTTCCTAATATCACAAATTTTTACAACACATAACTAAGTTTTTTAAAATAACTATCAAGTGTACTTTGCACAGAAGTTTTTGAATCAAGATAAATGTCTGTTAACATTGATTCAATACCGATAATAGCTTGATGAAGTTGTGGAGATTGCGTAATAGAAAATAAACGTAATCGTCGTACCATTTCGATTGTTTCACAAAGCTTTGGTGGTGTTTCTTCATCGATTTTTTCTTCATCATCATCTAATTCATTTGATTGAATAATATTATCAAAAGTAACAAGTCGTTCCGAATCGTCATTCCACTCATTGAATGTTGGAGCATGAGAATCAATATTTATAAATTCATTAGCATTCATTGTTGATCCACTAGTTACAACATGTTTCAATAAATTATCTAAAACCTTTGTTTCTTCATTCATACCAAAATCCATTAACAATAACTCATTTGATGTTGATGATGCACCATTATTAGTATCAGGAGGAATTATGCACGGTAAAGGATCGATTTGTTGTTGTTTGAAACCAGCAGCTGTAAATGTATTTTGGATTGTTGATTTAGTAACAGATTTCCACGCTGAATCGATCCAGCATACTGTATCAAGTGCAGTAATTGTAATATCACTGGTTGTTTGTACTGTTGAGCAGCTAGCAATAATATGTTTCACCAACGATTTTCGATAATTTGCTTTAAATGTATGTATCACTCCTTGATCAAGTGGTTGAATGACTGATGTTGTATTAGCAGGAAAAATTGTAATTTAACATTGGATAATTGAATATGAGTTGGATGACATGGAGCATTATCAATAAATAATAAAATACGTCGATTTTGTTTTTTCATGTTAAAGTTTAAATTATTTAACCAATTTTGAAATAATGTTGCGTTCATCCACGCTGTTCTATTAGCAGCCCATTCCACAGGAAGATTTTGAATATTTACATGCTTGAAACAGCGTGGCTTCAAACTTTTACCTAAATAAAAAAAAGTTTTATTTTATTTATTCATTGTCTTTTAATTAAAAAAGAAACTGTCTTACCAATGACCAATGGTTTGAGTTTTTCATCACCACTCCAGTTAGTGCATAATAAAATTGTAAATCTTTCTTTGGATCGTTTTCTACCTTTGCAGTCTTCTTTATTTAACACAAATGATTTTTCTGGTAATGCTTTAAAGAAGAGACTTGTTTCATCGGCATTAAAAATGTTTGAACGATCATATCCATCTATAATTAATGGTAGACGGTTTTTCCATTCGTTGGTTGTAACAGGATTAACACTTGCTGATTCTCCACAAATTGCACGATAAGAAATATTATGTCTGGACCTGAATTTTTCAAACCAGTCGTTGGAAGCCTTGAAGATAACATTACCACTAAATTCTGCAGCAATTTGTCTTGCTTTTTCTTGAATGGTTGGACCAGATAAAGTTATATTTTTTGCTCTTTGAGCAACAAACCATGAATAAGTTTCTTCATCAATTTTTCTTCTAAGATTATTCTTAATTTTTCTTCTTACTTCATGACATTGATTTGATTCAAAATCATCCAAATATTCTTGTTTACGTTTTAAAATGTTACATACAGCACCAGTTGATATTTTGTATTTTGTCGCCAGGTCTCGTTGAGAAAATTGACGATCATAATCTTTTATTAATTCCACTTTTTTAAGTAGAGGTAAATCGACGCGTGGTGCCATTATTTTATATTCGTGATTATCATTACAAAAATGAGAAAATTTCACATCGGACAACATTATTTATACTGAGTGATTATTTTCTTTTAATTACGTCCGATTAGTCTATGTCGGTCAACTTGTGTCTCTTGTTTATTTTTAATAAAAGAGACAAAAAATTCGTTCTTTTCTCATCCTACGTGCCAATTATACAACACATATTGCTCATATTTTAGAGGTTATTATTGTTCAAGGGACCAATAAAATGTGCTCACTTACAGAATAAGGAGGTGATCATAATTGAGAGACTCATTTCCAGCAAAATATGCTCGGGCGGCCCACAGAGTGTTCAGTCTAAGGAGTTGCTCGTTATTGGGAGGTGCTCATATATAGAGGTTTTACTGTATAATGATTTATTTATGAATTTTTTTAGATTGTATTTCATTTGGAATGGGAATGAAATTGTTTTGTTTATTGTTATTAATGATACTCAATAACAACATTTATGTATAATTATTTTATTTGTTATGATAAATACAAAATATATTACATCAGACGAACTATTACTTAAGTAGACATACTTAATGTTAAAAACTGTTGATTCAATTTCATAGACTGTCGAAAAAAACAACACAATGGAAGTTTTTAAACACTTAAATTTTTACAATAATATTCTTTTTGGATGAACATATCTAAATATCAACATAATTTTAGATCAAAACAATCCATTACAGAAGTTTGAAAAAATCTTTCTTTGTTAGGTGGATTTATTACAACAGAAAAGAATGAAGCAAGATATATTCTTCTTTTGAATAAAAATTTATTTATATCGACATATCTATTCTATACACATCAAGATCAACAATTTGTTATTCATGTACAAGTATGTATTAATCAATAAAGAAAAAAGATTAAAAAATGTATATATAATAATGTTTTTACTAATTTGGAGAATTTTATGTTTAATGAATAATGTTGATAAATCCATGTGTACAATTAATTTAACTAATAATTAAACAACAACATCGTCAGATTTCTTCATTATTATTATTTTCATCATCAACATATGATTAATAGTCCATTACTTGATTTATTATTTAATACAACTATTAAAACGAAAATATGAATTAATACTATACCAAATTCGGAAACATTTTAATATTAATAAAAATGAGTATGTATTAGATGACAATATTGTTATAAAGAACAAAATATTAACATATATAATTAGTATTTAATTGGAATGGAATATAAGAGAAATCGAATGAAAATTAATATTAATTTTACAATATTATTAAATATTATTCAAGTAAGATAATTATACAATGAAATATATTTTACTAGTTAAAAACAAGGAATTATAGCGTCTGTTGAGTTACTTGTGAAAATATTCTGTTGTTAATAGACTTGAACAATGTTATTATCAGAAAAGCTAGATTTACACAAAAAAAAAAAAATATATATATATATATATATATATATATATATTATAAAATGATCCAATCTCACAGGCGCGATATTTTTTCTAAGGCTTTACTGGTCATATACTTAAGAAAAAAACTATGTATACTTTTTCTACAAACATTGTTTGATTGTTCGATACGATAGCAAAGTCTGAATATGAACTCACTTCTCAATAATCAAACAATAATTTTGAAAAAGAAAGCATATCGAGCCTAACGAGATTTGATGTTTTTGATGTATTTCAGTTTTCGTAGACTATAATGAAATTCTTCTCGTACTAAATTGTCGGACACTGTTCTTCATTTTCGAATGAACTATTTTTTTCTAATAGATTTTAGAAAATTTTATGCTAAAACAATGGAAGTGATTCATACATTAGATTT